CCAAGCAATATGGGATAAAGAGTCTTCTCATGCGCTCAAGGGTAAAAATAGGAAAAGGCAAACAAGAGAGGGAGGAGAGAGATTCTTGAAATTTTGAATCTCCCTCCAACAAGCTATGTCGAGAGGCTTCTTCTTGAATTTGAACCTCTTGGCTTCCATTCTTCTTCCATTATAAGACATTTTAACAAAGGGATAATGTTACAATTGGAAATGATTGAATTTGAAAACCTCACATAAGAAACTAACTTCGAATTTTGTAAGGAAACTGAATTGAGGAGGCAAACCTGATAAAGGAGTTCCAGAATTGACTAAAAAATCACTGTGATCAAGAACAGAAATCGGGCTGGTATTTTCCCAGTCACATTGGGTTTCAATTTTCCTAGGTGTAGTTGCGGACTCTTCTTCTTAGCAAATTTTGCTTTTTCAGAAATTTCTTTGTGGTTATTAGGCTTTGTTGGACTTCCCGGCTTGGAGTTTGATACTGCCTTTGGTTTTTGGTACACATCCTTCTTATGAGGAGGCGTTGAAACCGGAATCTTGATGTCGTCAGAAATGTGATCTTTTCTTAAAGTCCTTCTATCGGATGTCTTTCTCTCCACCTTCTTCTTTTTGTTATAAACCCTTTTCCTGCTCTCTTGATCTTCCTTCTTTGTTTTGTTCCTCTTCTCTACTACCCTCTCTCTTTTGTTCTCCTTGTTTTCTTTCTTCTCTGTTTTCCTCTGCTCCAATTCACTGAAACCCTTCTTAGACTTCCTTCCCTTAAACCTCAGCTCATCCGTTTCTCTTACATTCTAAAAGCTGAGAAGAAAGAAATCTTCATTCTCTAACTGTAAGAATGTCGGGGCTTCGCGAAACAACAGAGAAGTCATTACCCGTCGATGGCGCCTCCATGGTACGTTGAATTCTGGCCAGTATCCTGCATAGTTTACTGACCTACTTCGGCCAATCAAATCTGCGATCTTCCCTGGAGGAACCCAAGTCAACTCCAGTAATGACTCAAGACCCATTAGCCTAGCGACTATACCTAGAATTGTTGCCATTGGAGCCTCGGTCTTCTTCGAGGCTTGTTACTGTTGGTGATCCGACTCAATGCAATCTGGATCTTTAATATGAGACGACGGAAGATGCCTGAGAGACACCCATTAGTGGCATTGTGGGAATTATCCAACTTTGCATCGAAAGAAGGGGTAGATGATGATGAGGAGGAGGAAAAAACCCTCGTGGTCAGAGTGTGAGAATAGAGTATAGAGAGTGAACGAGAGAAGTGGGTTATGTTTGTTACAGTTTAAATCACCGCCAAAGTCAATCGGCCGTGAACTTTACAGTTTTCACTCACTACTCGTAACTGCTGTTCGTAGGATAATTACTGAAACTTAGAACTGCTTGTAGGCTGAGCATCCGGACAATGAGTTGTGACAGTTATGGCCGAGAGGAACGGAAAACAGAGGAAAGAGAGAAGAAAGGAGAAACCGGGAGAGAGAGAGAAATGTGAAAGAATTTGAGGTAGAAGGAATTACCGCCGCTAGGGCTGTTCATAAGAATGCCCAACCCGACCAAACCGACCAACCCGGACTGACCCAACCCGAGTCGGCCAGGTTTTCATCAGTACTAGTCGGCTTCGGGTTGGGCAAATATATAAACCGATATATCGGGTCGGTTTTGGTTTTCACAACCCGATCTGAACCGAACTAGTCTTCTACTAGTTCGGTAGTTCCTAGTTTTAGTAGTTTCCTACTTAAATATAACTAGTCTTCTACTAGAACTAGAAGGCCCATTAGGCAATTACAATTAGAATAGGCAATCTATCATAGTTTATAACTTTCTATAGTCTTTTACACCAAATAGGCAACCCATTAGACAATTACAATTAGAATTCAATTAGGTGTCCTTTGGTACAGGAGCAAAACCGAAACCGACCCAAACCGACTCAAACCGACTAGGTCAGTTTGGCCTATCAGTGGGTCGGTTTTGGTTTCCACCTCAGGTAACCCGACCAGGTCGGGTCGGTTGGGAAAATCCCAATAAACCGACCCAACCCGACCCGTGAACACCCTTAACCGCCGCTACTGTTCGTGTATAAACCTGTTCATGGGCCGAGTAGCCCGACGGACTTGCGCATGGATTTTAGCCCACGGGCTTGATCTCAGGCCTAAAATCCCAAGTCCGACTATTTCACGAGCCGGGCTCGGGATTTGTCACAAAGCCCGGCCCGAATCCGGCCCGACCCGACTGTTATATAACCTTTAAACCCTAAATAATCCTAAACCGATTAACCCTTCCCACTCTTAAGTCTCAGCCTCTCAGGTCTCAACTCTTAGGAACCGGCGAACACTCTCAGAGTCAAACTCAACACCGATGCTACTAGTGAACTCCGAAGGTGAATCCTCTCTCTCTCTTCATTGTTCCATCTTCTCACTTCTCATTTTACTCTCAGAATCTCAGGCTTAGGCTCACTATAAGAGGCGAACCCAGGCACCGGCACCACCAATTGTCTCTCTATCCGACGTTGAATAATTCAGGGGTATTTCAGCCTCTGTGTATGTTACTATGAAGTTATTCTGGGGTATTTCTGCTATTTGTTTGTTCCTTTTTTTTCTTTACATGATTGTTCTGATAATAGAGAAAAAAGAAAGAAACTGAAAAAATAAGCAGTGAGAAAGAAACTGAAAAAATAAGCAGTGAGCTCTTTAACCATTCTACCATTTTCATTTTCCCTCAACAGTTCTAAAACAAAGGAGAAATTCAGAAACTGATTCGACTTCAAAAGAAAATCAAAAGAAACCCAAAAGGGTATATTTCTTCATCTTTCTTATCTAGCTTTTGCTTTTAGCGGGCGATTTCAGTCTGCAGGGACGCATTAAACTCGACTTGCTCAACTTCCCATCGCGCTTTTGCGATGACTTCATTGTATACAGGCACATACTCCTGATCAAACAAAATAATATCATTCATTAAAAACCAAACAAAAGCAAAAGACACGAGAGTTATGTAGAAAAGAGTCTGCTAAAGCTTCATTCTTTCTCTTTTGTTTTTTTCGATTTACTGGAATCAGTCTCACACTTCGAGATGAGATTACTACTACAACTGAAGAAAACAACCCACACCTCCGGTTTCTGAACTACCTCTTTCGCTAAGGGAAAAAAAATCAATCTTTTTGTTTTCGGAGCTTTTTATGAGGGCCGGACTTGGGCCCAAGTTGTAGGCCTGTTTGTTGGGTCGAGTTCGGGCTCAGGCTTAAAAAAATCCTGTTAAAGAGGAGTAAAAGCCCGGCCTGGCCCATGAACAGGTCCGTTCGTGTATCGTGAGGTTAGGAAAGATGAACAGTATTTTTCTTCCAATTGTCCCGATAACACACTAACAAAAGGGAGTCTTTGTCTCACGGTCATAGCACAGGGGGTCTTTGTGGCAAAACAAAGTACAGAGATTTGTCTCCTAATATTTCAATTACAGGCCCAATTCAGCAAAATTAAATTTTCAGGTGGAAATATTTAAACTATATTTTTATTCCTTTTTACAATAAAAAAAAGGGAAAATGACCAATCAACCCATATCAGAATCTTATAGCCCCAAAGTATAGGGGGAATGCATCTGACCGTGAATTGATGTCAAATTCACGGACAGGATGTAGTTCAGAATTCTGCATGGTGTATCCATACTCCCTAAAAAAAAATGTATTCCTTGTCATTTAGATCAAAATTTCAAATAGATATACAAACGAAACATTTAAATACAAAACAAACTAATGCAACAATCACAGAGAAAGAGAAAAGGAATAATATATTTTTGGAAAAGATGAAAATAATCTTCTATAACTCCAAACTGGATGATGTGATGATTGACTGATTCTCACCATATATGCATGGGACAAGATAAGCCATTAAAGTTGTGATTAAGAGATGCAACTTGGATTAATTGACAGCCTTTTTGGGCGACAGAGATAAATTAAAGGACTTTATTCAGAAAAGTGAACATGCATGTAATATCCATGAACCCGTCACCTAAGGGTGAAGTAAATTATCAATTAAATCGCATGCATGACTCCTTTCTTTTTCCATCTACTTTTATTTTATCAAACAAAGGAGTGATAACTGATAGCCTCTCTCTCTCTCTAATATATATATATATATATATATATATATTGAAGAACAGTAGTGGAAGCACATAGCCTGACTATTGCATTTGGACATTGGACTGGAAGGGAGTTAATCCATTGCATATATATATTATTAGCCTCTTAGGCCATCAAACATGTGATATTGGTTTCATTTTCACTTACCTCGACGCCCGTCACGCCCCGATTTAGTGATTCCACAACTCCTGAATTGTCCGGACGGCACTACGCAAAGCTCATATCAATTGCGATCAAACAACAGTGTGGGCAAATCCTCTCTAAGTTGATGAATTAAAACTTAAAAGTACGGTTGGATACTCTCACTTCCCCTGTCTTCTCTCCTCCACTTTTCTGTCATGCTCAACCTTAATCTGTGTTTGGTTTGACGGTAAAACAAAAAGTAGGAAAACCTTCAAAACAAACATAGCCTAATTGGCTGCATATTTGCCGGTTCTTTCAGTACTTTAAAATTAAAAGTTGTCAAAATAGGGGTGTAAATGGATCATTATATAAGAATTAAATAATTGATTGAATTTATATATCTATTGAATCGAATGAGGTCATATCCAAATTCAAATTCGATTAACTATACAAACGGATGAACTTGTTCTAATTTGCAAGAAACCTTATCTTGATTCATTCATAACAAAAGCAAAAACAAGGTTGTTTTTACTTTTTCCCCACCAGTTTCGTCTACCAGCCACAACTCTCCCAGTAGTTAAATGATACCTTATATCTATTTGTAAAGTTACAGGGAACACGAAGGACGATAAAACTGCACCTGTTACCTAATCAGCCATACAAAGTTCATTTTTTCCTCCTAAAAGGAGGAAATCGTTCATGGATAAGAAAGCTCATCACAGGAAAGTGACTAGTAGTTACCCGTTATTAAAATAGAATAGCATAACAGCTCAATTCAGAGTGTGGCATGATCTCAAATTTAAGTAACTTATTGAATCAAATAATTAACATCCCATTTCTATGGGCATTAATTGTTGTATTCGTTAATTACATTCCCTCTTTACACAAGTATAAGAAGCCATGTTATTAACTGATTCGAGAATTCGATAGTCACCAAAGTATATAATGCAAAAATGGGCAACCGCTGACCAAATTTGGGCCTTTATCAAGACCAGGTGAGGCATCAATCATCATCATCCTCAGAAATCAGAAAAGGCTTCACATTGGACTGTCAAGAAGAAGTAGCTTCCTTTCTATGCCATGCAAGTCAGATATCATGGTCCCTGGCAATTGATGATGAGGTTGAAACTGAAATTATACAAAGGATGTCTGCTATCCTGTTCACAAAACGGAATGGCATTTACCTGAAATTTTAATCCCAAAGCTCATTTTCAAGTTCCACGGAGGGCTCGAACTCGATCTTGAATCAGGTTCCTTTCCCAAACTGCTATATCCTCAAAAGCATGTTCTGGAAGGCTCTCAAAAGGCTCTTTCCATGGTTCGTTCTTAACTACATCATAGGTAGCTCCACGTATTGCTCTTTTATTCGGCCCACAAGGCCTCTTTGAGGTAAGCATGTCATATGCCTCATTCAACTGTTCCATGAATGCAAACCATGATGAGAATGGTTTTCCCAAATTTATAATTTGTTCTAAGTTGAGAAGAGAAAAGAAACAAGGATTAACACAGAATTCAAATAAAACAAAAGCACACACTCGTACCGTGTGGTGAGTAATTGTAAAACCTAGCAACTCTGTCAACATTTACAGGCTTGGTGAGTAATTGTTAGTGGTAGACTGGTACCGTGCAGAAAATTTTCAGACAAAATGAACAAATTGCATTATAAAATAGAAAAATAGCCTTGAGAGGATGGATAACATATATGCAGGATAAAGACTTACATTCATTCCACAGAACCAAAAAATATATGCAATTGCAACTGCTGGGGCCCTCCCCAATCCAGCTGTACAATGCACATAAGCTCTTCCTTTTCCTTCTGATATGGCCCATTCCAATGAAGAAACGGCTTTAGGTAATCCGCTTCTTAAGGAATCGGGATCAAAATCCCTTGCCTACAGAAGACAACAAGTAGCCATTCTAATTAATATTTCTCTAGTCAAATAAAAATAGAGGTACAGAAGAACAATATCCTGACGCTTTCCTTAATACCAACAAATTTTCAGAGGATAACCCATATAGGAATACATAAATACTAATCCTGACTTTGTTTCCTTACTATCAACTCAGCTAGCCAAAATTCTTTTTCAGGCAACCACTTGGCTTTCTAGATTCAGGTAACATGAACATCGCGCATAGCCCCATGGTTGCTGCTAATATTTTCACACATGACCAAGAGCTTTTTGAAAAGAATATTTCCTCCTACCCATCCCAAAAGCAAGGAAACGAGACAAAAATGTTTCGCATGTAATTCACATAATACAAAAATCTATTGCTTGTAATGAACTCCTTAGCAATTCAACACTCCATATTTATAGGAGTAATGGGGACATGGCTTAACTTTGTTTCATGTGATACCTTTTAAAATATTACCTCATATATATGTATGCTTCCACTTGACAGTCATGTCCCTCAATAATATTATGTTATACATAATTTGGTTTACAGAATAGTCTCTCTTCCTGGTGAATCCAATTTATGTATGATAAAACATCATTTCATTTCCTTTTTTCCTTGATCAATAGCACCACCAAAAAATTTTGTTAGCAATGTTTAGTTGTGTACTTCCATTCCTTATTTCAGAACTAAGAATTTTTTTTTTTTTTTTTTCTATTTTGACAACCCTATCTTTTCCATTAGCATGCATTACCCAGAAGAACAACCTTCTACGAACCCTTCTCTTAAGAGATGGGTTGCTTATGGTAGGAAAAGTGACAATGATCCATTCACTTAATTTTGTTCTTTCTGCAAGATATGTTTGGCAGCTATGGTATTATAAGATTACAGGTGTCTCACATTGGCATGGAAGATAGAAATTCCCACATTGGCATCCAACAATGTAAATGACTTTTTCCTTTTCCTTATATTTTGGAAGCAGATATATAGCTTTTGTAAAGTACAACTTATATAGGGAAGTACAAATCCAGTCCAAACAATAAAGCCCATCTAAGTATAGAGCAGACTTTGTCCTCCATTTAGAAACCACAGAAGCATTTTCATCATTTTATAATGAAGGCATTTGCAGTTTTGTACATACAACAAAAGGACCCCCTAGTTACTTGGTGAGCCCTTCATATAAGATGAAGAAATCAAAAGGCCAACTAAATTCTCTGTGCCTAACAAATTCCAACTATCCCTATGACAATTGTTTCAGAAAGGTTTGACAAGACCATTTGGATCGTTCCAGTAGCCAGTAGATTGGTTTTTTCCTAGCAAGTGTTCCACATATGGAATCCATTAGAACTTTGGGACATACCGACATACTATATTCATTGTATCATATTCTTGACAGAACCTCACTTTTTTTTCTTTTGTGTGATAAGTGACAGAGTCCCACTTGATCTGCTGGACAGAAACCACATATCTACTACAGAGACAATCAACTAAACATAAGAGAGAACTTGTCTTACAGGTCTTCTCATGTGGCAAATGCCAAGTTCTTTACATCTTCCGACTATAGATTCTATGTCAATTCCCCAGTACTCAATGTCCTTGTCCTGCTGTAAGTTTAGAATATAGGCAACATTCTCTTCCTGTATCAGGTGATCAATATCGTCAGGCTTCTGAGGTTGGGAACCAACAATAACATTGTCAGTTATGAGTGTGTAATTCATACCTGAAAACAGAAAAAGGAAAAACAAATTACATTAGTCTCACAACCACAAAGAGCACTTTAAAATTTAACAACACAAGCAGTTGTATTAATGTTCATGAATCCAAAAGGACAAAGTGCAATAACACATAATAGTGCTCAAGATCCTTTATTCTGATTATTCCATTGCATATTAGTTTAGGACATAACATTGTAACTCTGATAAATTTGAGATCAACAGAATCTGTTTTTCTTTTTATTTTCTGTAGAAGTAAGGAAATTGACCATCACAACAATTGCAGATTTCAGATGAACAAGGCTGCTGCCCAATGCTTGTCCCAGTTATCTGGGGTCTTATAAAGGGTGGACTGGGTACAGACCTAATCTCCTGCACTATTTTGCACGAAGTGGCCACTCAGACTTGGAACCCATTTTCACACTTCTCAGCCTGGGATCTTGCTATAGTACCAAGAAATGGCTTTTCAGTTGCAGATTTCAAATATTCAAACAAAAACTCCCAAGCACAGCAATCGTCGTCAAACAATAAAAGAAAGTAAATGCTTCTCTTATCAGAAATCAATCAAGAGGAAAGGTTTCAGCCATGCACAGTGATGTTGTTGTAGAAATTCTATCATTATCTCAATGCCTTATTATCATAGACATGGCGTTCAACTGTTGAATGGTGTTAATATCTCTGCAGCTCTGCCACATAAGATCTTTATTATGTGGGTTTGCAAAATCATGCTTTAGTTGATGAGAATCCCAGATTAAAAGTATCTCGGAACCAATTAATTCAGCAAGAAATATATGCAGTTATATTCCATGTGACTTAGGAATCAAACATGGAATATTTACGAATAAAGAACTTTTACTCCAGAATCTTATAGGTATATAACCGTAGGGAGTAATAATCCACCTGAAGAATGGTGAATCTTGAAGTAAGACGTTCATAGTCCACAGAAGCCCGGAAAAGAGGGATACTGGTTGTTGAATATAAAGAACCAGACTACTAATTCATGGATTAATCATAATCAAGTTGGCATGAGATTACTTTTGCTTAATTTTCATGTGCTCAGACTCATGGTTTATGGAGATTAGGCGGAAAACTATCTGGAGAAAATAAGTGAATAACAACATTTTAGAATCAGAAACAAAAGCAGACTTCTTTCCAACAATTAATGGATTGTTAGAATCAGAAACAAAAAACTCCCTCTTTTAACAATAAATCTGATTGACGAACGGTCCAATTGTACAAGAATATATTCAAGAACTCTCCCTCCTATTCATTTACAACGATTAGCCCATGTAGTTGATGGTCAAACATGCAATCCATCTCAAAAGAAAAGAGGATCGAGTAGAGAAATATGAACTTGAAAGGGTTGGTATAAAAAATCATTTAAACGAAGAAACTAGTTGGATAAAAAAGAAGAAATTATGGCTTTTCAAATTCCCTCATAAATTAAAAAGAATATACCTCAAATAACGGAAAAACTCAAAACAAAACAAATATTGACAAGAAAAAGGAAGCTTTGAATATCTGGCCATTGAAAGAAACAACAGATGAACGGAGAAATTCGCATAAAGCTAAGGTTAACAAAACCCAGTTGGTCGGAACAGAAATGCAGATAACAACTTTACCTGTTCAATGGGAACTTATAACATACCAAAGCCCACTTCAAAATAAGTAATAAAACAACCCAAAAATCTGAAACTAAAATAGAACAAGAAAACGATAACAATATGGGCACGCAACTGAAGCAAGTTGTTGAAAAAGCTCACCAATATCATGGTGGTACTCGTATGGGTTCCTCATCATTCTCTTCATAGCTATATTGTACTCATCCATCCTGGACTTGGAGCTTCTTCTGTTGGTGGAATTTTCTTCAATTCCACTTTGTGACATTTTACAGGAAATTGTATTCGTCTCAGAGAGAGACTTAGCTACCATGAAATTGCAGAACGATTTCTTCCTCAGGAAAACCTCATTTTCCAGAGGAGTCGTAAAGAGTGTGGAAAAGAAATAATTGTTAACAGCGAATCCCATTTTGCCTCTAGCACCAGACGGCAAACGGAGACAGAGATGGTAATTGGCCTTTGTTGTTTTCTAAGGTTTTAGCTCTAATTTTAATTGTTTTTCTGAGGAGTGCTAATCAATCTTCCAGGCACATGGACACGGCGCCACAACACCTCCTCTAAAAACCGTAAGTATGACACCTGCACTCTTTGGCTCAAATGATTCCTCCACTCCCATCCTTTTCGTTCAAGGCAGGTGTATGGCGTCGTTATTAGCTTGTAGGTTCTATGGACGTGTTAAGATTAATATTCTACTGTTTCTCCTGGTTCTGTTTTTTTTTTTTTTTTTTTTTTCAAAATATAAATACTCAGAAAAAACGAAAGGGTGGGAACTGGGCGTAATCAATCAATGGTTGTAGACATGTAAATATGTAATAATTGAGATGATATTCAATTCAGTGGTTGAGGAATTTATAGCGAGGACGAGGATGGAAAATTTGGGTCTATAAGTCTATTGAAAACAGTATATATGGACTATGGTGTCTATGTTTGCTGTTTGCATCAAGGAAAACTCTTGTTTAAGGAAATCCCACGAGCAACAAATTATAAAACGATGATTTCAGTTGGCCAATTGGGAGTTGGAACCATTTATTCATAGTAAAATTGTGATCAATTTGGAGAAAGATTGGCCGTACAGTTGGGGTTGGAATTAATGCCAATACATGGGTGGATATAGATATATAGAACGTGGGTTTTTAATTTTTGAATGTTTATAGATTTGTAAGGAAATTCAGAAATTAGGCTTGTATTTTTCTCTTTAAAGAATTTTTTGCACTGGTTGCAATGTAGCAACTTTATGATTGAGTAATGAGATTTTTCATCATTTGTACCATATAATATCCTTAACAGTAATAATAAATAAAAAAGAAAATTTTCAATTACTATCTTGTAATTTTGGTTAATGCAACTTTGTTCTTTAAATTTTAAAATGTGATAATTTAGTATCTAAATTTTTAAAATATGTCAATTTAGTATTTATCATTAATAATAAGTCATTAATAATATAAAAGATATAAATATCTTTTGAGTGTCATCTAATTTTCTTTATTAATTATTTAAATGTTGATAAAAAATAAACAGTCACAAATTTTTATCTCTTAAAGTTGGAATCACTAGAATGCCCACTGAAACATGATCTCAATTTTCTTGAATAAAAGAAAAAAAGATTTAAAACTATTTATTTTTTATCAATATTTTGATTATTAATAAAAAAATTAATTAATACTGGAAAGATATTTGTATCTTTTCAAATATCACTTAATGACCAGTTAAAAAAATTATTGGATAGAAATATTTTAAAAATTTTAAGTATTAAATTATCGCATTTTAAAATTTAAATAGCTGCCCAAAATACAAAGTAATAATCGAAAATTTTCCTTTAATAAAAATATAAATTAAGAAAAATATTCCTGACCACAACGAGGGACAAGATTTTTCGTCCAATTCCACTATATGTCCATCAATAATAAAGTTTGAATCCAGCCACACGGGAACCTTTATATAACAAACAAAGGCATGTGTCTAATGCGCCACAGCGCCAGCCACCCACCAGATAGCACTTGGATTTATCTGGCCCTTCCATCTTGCCACGTATTTGGAGTCATGTGACTTACATCAACGTCACCGACTTGTGATGGAAGGAGGGCGAAAGTGAGAATCCAGCCCTCTGGCGATAAAGGCTTCCTAAAGTTTCACTTTCTGGTAAGTACTTTCCTCTATTATAGTTTTCCTAGTTCTTGGGGCATCCTCTGTTATATTTTAAGATTAGGGGTTTATATTGTTGAGTCCACTTTAACAAATCTTAGTTCTATCAAACAGTTGGGTAGGTGCGGTTTGGAATTAACGTCAATAGACGGGTGGAATATTGGTGTTATATGGGTGAGGATATTTGAAATTTTGAATTATTACAGTTTTATAGATTTATAGTGGAATTTAGAATTCTGAGGTAGAGTGTAATATAATTTTTACTTAAGATTAAAATATTAAATAATTTTTGTATTTAAAAAATGAAAAGAGATAACTATGTCTGTGAAATGAATCAATAATTAAAGAAAAAGAAATAACACCACTGAAATGATTCTTGTTATTTTAGCTAGTTTTATTTAGAGATAATGGAGATATTTTTGATCAATTAAGATTCAAGAGAAGAGCAAAGAAAAGAAAATTAAGGAAAATTGAGATAAACATTTTGGTAGTTTAAGCATTCTATGACTTAATAGTCAAAGAAAAATGTCAACATCATGAGTTTGGTTCAATTTTTAGGTGTTCAGTAGTGTGGATGAGAAATTGGTGGTCCACACCACACCTCGTGGCAGGCATACCACACCATAGTTCACAGCCGTTCTGAAATATGGACAAATTGTATGGACTAGATTCCATGTATCTCATATACATTTTATGAATGACTTATACAGTTAATCATAAATATCTAATTTTTGCATTTTATATAATAAATATATTAAAAAATGCATCAATGAATTAACATTAACTAATAAATATTATTTTTTTTATAAAAATAATAGTAAAATAATAAAAAATTAAAAAAGTATATTTTAAATATTTATAAATATTATTTTATTGATAAAAATTTATAAAAATTAAAAAATAAAGACTGATCTGGGCTACTATTTGGTGCTGGGAATTATGCAAAATCTCCTAAAAATCCCCTCGAATGGAACTTGGGTTCATTCGAATGAAACTTGGGTCCATAGTATAAGATGAAAATAAATGTAAAAAAATTAAAAAAATGAGCTAACATTCATCTTATGAATCTAGAAATTCAAGAATGCATTTATGATTTCATGTTAATTGGGGGAAAAAAAAGTACAAAACCAAAAATAGACTATGGATGGGCCCTATCCACGAGTTTTTCCCGTTGCCGCTAAATTGGGGTGTGGACGGACCGGTCCATGATATAGCGTGGATCGATCCCATCCACAACCAGTCAAATAGGTGTTCATCCCATGGATGAGATGAACATGGTGTCAAACACCATCTTAATGGGTAATTCTCAGTGCTTCCCCCTCCCTTCTCTGGTGTCTTCGTAATCAAAGAGTGAAATATGTGAATACAGACACGACTTTCTCCTTTTTATTCACTATTACCTATACACTACGGCAACAATTGTTCAATTGAGCAAGGTTTAGGTGTTAACAAGCTATGGTGGAACGAATGATAAGGTTCCATCCCAGTATTTAAATACATAGTCACATATGTTTTACAGTGGGGTCCATGAATTTATTATTGGCGTTGAACCTCCTTATTGGTTCCACAACCCACCCAAAGCTTTAGCCTTCACTAATCTAAATTCTGTTTAATTGTTTGTCCAAGTTATACGCTAAAAAAATTTGAGAAAATAATGTTTCAGCCCAAGGTCAGAATTTTTAGGCCCAAAATAAAGATGGGGTGGGTGCTAGCTCAAAATTGATGCCAATTTATGGGGGAGGCATTGATGTGTAGAGGGGTTTTTGTCATTTTGAATGTTTATAACTCTGCAGTGGAAATCAGAAATTTGTATTGGGCCTATCCGTACTTCTATACATGGTTTTTAAAAACGAACAGGTGACTGAACCGGTCAGGGGTCCGGTTATCAGTTCGAACGGTCAATGATAGATATCCGCTTAAACTTTAATTTTCAGTAAAAATCCCCTTAAACTTTGGCTATTAGATAAAGACCCCCCTCTCTTGACGTCCGTCAGTTGACTTCGGAAAAATTTTTATTTAATTATTTAAAATTTTATAAATGTCCAAACTACCTTTTTCTAATTTATTTTAACAGACATTTTTCTCATCCAACAAGGCTGAGAGTAATTGTAAACAAGCTCCAGTCTGAGTGGAGGTAGTGGAGTGGGTGCATTCTCCAACGAAAAGGGCAGCAATGAGCAATGAGTAGATCAGTGATACATACCCGTGTAACAGCAACAGCGATGACCGAATTGGAGTCGTAGGAAGAGTTCTAGCGACAGGCGATTCCCAACATCGACAAATATCAGGATGGAACCGAGGCAGTGATAGTAGTGACTGGGCTGACCCTCGTTAGCCCCAAGTGTTGGTTGCAGCATCATCAGGATGGTTGGTTGCAGCATCCCAAGTGTTGGTTGCAGCATCATCAGGATTCCAATCTCCCATCATCGTCAATAATAAAATCCCCAAATTGGCTGCAAAATAATACTTGTTAGTTAGTGGTTCCACTCTCTAACGAGACCCACCTGACCTGACCCTCGTTAGAATACTCTTTGGTTATACAAAGGAAAATGGTTCGGGTTTCTTCGGGTTCAATTTTCAGTTTAACATTGGATCAAACAAAGCAGAAAACTGACACTGCTAACAAAGAATTTCCAACATACATAAAAGATTATTTGAACCCTTCCAAAAAAAAAAAAATCAAAGAATAAGATCAATTTAGACTCCAAATAACAAATGGTTCAACTTAGAACAAAAGAACCCTGTATCAAGCTATGTTTGTTGCTTGAGCTAACTCTAACTGCAATGAAAGAATGAGCAAAAAAAATTAGCTAGCTTTCTCTATCTAGAAATAGAAAGAATTGGAATTCTACCCCCTTCTGCATGGCATCCATGGAAGAAGATTAAGATGACTCCCATGATCAACTCGGCACCTGAGATAGAGGGGCTTCCTGCAACATCAATAGGCGCCCACACAGAAACAGTGTACAGAGGCTGCTCTAGCCACCTAAGAGTAAGCCCAGCTCCTTCTTCCCCCTGCTTATCAACGCTATACTTGTCACCAGCGTACATCTTCAACAGCATTCGGCTCTGAAGCAGCTCTCTGTCTCCAATCTCCACGTATCAAAACCCCCCATGTTCCATCAACCCCCTCCACTTCGCGAAGCTCTCGTGCCTCTCCAACCTGTCATTTCCTTCACAAGCAACTATGTTTCTGATGATCTCCCTGGCATACATCTCCTCTACTTTGATTCTAACGAGGCTATCTAATGGCAGAGCAGAATCAATTGAATCAAAGATGGCAGAATAGTAGCGCAGAGAATTACAGACTCTTGCTTCCAGCCTCTTGCTTCCAGATTCGCTTCATTCATTGTACATGGCTTCCTACTCTCCCATCACAACGACTGTGGGGTTTGAATCTTTTATGAGAATCGCGGCAAGACCACCACAAACAGATGAAGCTCTGACGATGATCACTAGTGAGAAAAAGTCAGAT